TTTTTAATGTGATGCTTGCAATTATTATCTGATCAATTGATTTAGATGCTTGAGAACAGCCTTAGTTAAAAATCTGATTAACAACTGTTTTTTAGGCTTAGTTTTACCAAGTCAACGGTCACTTTTTTGAATTTTGTGCTTAAGGTTCGAATTTCACATCCACCATGTAATCATATGCAACCGGATTTTTAGGGTTAGGTTGAGTAACATTAATAAAATTTACGGATTTCTCTTAAAAATTTACACCTATTGCAAGGTCAATTGATCCAAATAAAGCGATTTTTGTACCATTCGATTCATCTCGATAAGACGAATCGAATGGTACCAAAATTGTTCAATTCTAGTCAGTGAATTGCAAGATATTTCAAAAAAATATGAGTGCGCCACAATACCTCCCGCGCCATAATACCCATCCTGCCCTTATGTTTTGTATTGTATTACTGCATCCTTCCTCTAGATATTACCCAAATGAGGAAAAATTAAAAGAAACTTAATACTATCATAAGAAATATCGACTTTTACTTATATCTTGTGTTTTAGCAATTAGAATCCAAAAAATTTTTATATTATTTGATTCGTCTCAGTAAGACAAATCGAATGGTACTAAAATTTTGTGATGTATCTCGAGATATTTTAAAAAAACTCTGGTGCGCCACATTACCTCCCGCGCCAGAATACCCTACTTCACCTTATATAAAATTAAAATAAAAATTTATTAAATTTAATTAAATAATTATTAAGATTTTTAAATTTAAAATTAAAAAAATTTTATTTAAAAATTTATTTTTTTTATTAACTTTATATATATATCATAATATTAATATTAGAATTTAAATAAATTTTACAAAAGTAAAAATAAATAATAAAGTATTTAAAGTAAAACCCTGACTATAAGCACTAGTTTTGATCAAAGTATATTACTAAAGTTTAAATAATATATATAAAAATATAAATTGCTCTAGTAAATTTATTTTGAAAATAAATAAAACAAAAACTATACTAACCAAATACCTAAACAATAAAAACATGGTAGAATCTATCCTATTCCCAAATACAATACTTTTGATGAAATCTCAATCTTACACATTCTATTAACCTTATCAAACAACATTAACATTACTGTTTGCCACTGCAGACAATACACGGGATCTTATTCAAGAACTTTATTTTTAAAAATTGATACAATTCACGAATCCGGCGATCTCATTGGTGAAGAAGGGGGCACTTAATGTGGTTAGATATATATTATTTTTGGAGGATACTGTATGCAGTGGCTAACGGTATTACGAAGTAAAAGATAATCAAAACTTCTATTTTTAATAAAAAAACGTTATGTTCTCAAAAGAGTACTTGAAATATGTAATTAAGTTACCCGGGCGATTGATTAATGTCCATCCATAAGTGACTAGTAAAAGTTTAGAATCTGAAAAACGTATTTTGGGGTTAATAAAGCTAAGGTTTTGTTGGATTTAAACGCGAAAACTTTTACACTATGATATAACCATCGACTTAACTTCAAATGCACTACGATATAGACTGCAATCCAATATGATTTGATAGCTCAATCACAAATCAATCATAATTTAAGCTAAAAATTGTACGCTAGACGGTTTAAGACAGCCAAGTTGTCTACAATCACATGATTTAATACACTACCTAATTACCGCAAATGTGCGCTATTTTTTTTGTCCAAGTTATGCGAAGAAAGTGAACTAAATTTTACTTCAATTACATTATATTTCTTGTTCTCATGATTGACGAATTTTTCAGATAAAATCAATAATTCATGGCCATGGGTAATTAAAGTGAAAAAAACCATAATGTTTAATCGATAGAAAACACACCTTTTGTTAAAATTACATACGTACAATGCTTTTCAAATAATGATAATAAAATTACATAAATTACATAAAAATTACATAAAAAATTACAACAGTGAAACTAAAAAAGTTATGTAAAAAAAGAGAAAAAATGTACATTTGTTACAATAAAAGCTTAATAAAAGCTTAGAGGTAATGAATACCAATAAGACATTGGTCTAATTTAGATCAGTTTTTTCACGTTTTTTTCATTGCCCAAAAACGATGACTTTTGTCAAATGATTTATTATTATCCAAGTCCTTCATCGCCATATCAATTAATGAATTATAATCACCTTCTTGGAATTGTATATCGGCAACAGCATCCGAAAGGTTTTTAGCACCCCACGTTATAATTTGCGCGTAAGCTTGACCTAAGAATTTGTGAAGAATTATCCTAGTTAATATATAAAGTATTTAAGAAGAAAGTTGAATATTTATATTTACCTAAAACACCCCCCCACGCGCCCAAGGGTTCGACCCTTTCATCTTTTGAAATATTAGTTAATGACTTATTTGCAGCAAGATAACTAGGTATTAGCGGGCTTATTATAAGGTCAATTCCTTTTCCTGCTTTTAATCCATCAACAACTAAAAGAAATATAAAAAAAAAAACCATTTAACATATATATATATATTTTATTTACAACTTTAAATAAATAATCAAAAATAACTAAAGAAACTTACTCTTTGTTCTCCAATTTTTTACAGCGTCACTCTCATTGTACCAAAGGATATCTCTGGGAAAGATAAATTTTTTTAGTTAAAAAGAGTAATAATACGATAGGTTAAGATCACATGATGAAATTCGCCGTTAACGTTAAACACGTAAAAGCGATCATGTTAATAAAATAAATTTATTTACCTTTCCATTAATTCGATCCAGCCTCCTGGTTTTGTCACTCTAACCATTTCCTAATAGTTTCAAATCATTTATCAGAAATTACAGAAATTACGAATTTTATACGATAACTCTGAATATATATATTTATTTATTTATTTACCTTAATAGCACGTGTCCAATCTTTTGCCACTATTGCAAACATCATAAATCTCATCTAAAAAAAATAAAACTGATTAATAAAAATATATAATAATAACATATATAATCACAAAAAATTTACACCTACATATACAAAATCAAATCTGCATATCGATATATCGAGATATAGCAAGATAGAATAAGAAATTTGAACAGAAAAAGGATTAGCCTTAATTTCGAAGCAAATCAAAAAACATTGAAACAAATAAGAGAATTACGTGTTATCAGCAAAAGGTAGCCCTTCAATAACATCACCAGTCACGAATGCGCTATTTCCAGGTTTAATTTGAATAGGATAATTGGCGACTATATCACATCCCGTAAAATGCGACCTTGGATATTTACTAGATTTAAATATAGGACAAAAAGGAAGAAATGAATATTAACAATGAATGTCTTGATCAAACAAATTATTTGATTCGAATAGCAAACTAACCTGGCAAGTTCAAGAACAAGAACTCCCGGACCACATCTAATTAATATCAAATACGTAAGTCAAAACAATCGAACAAGTTAGAATATTTGAGAAAGTTTGAAAAGAATATCGCCAGAGTAATGCTTGTATTCAAATATACTATTGTCATAAATATATTTGAATATATAAAGATTTATATAAATATTAATATTATGTTAGACGCCAATCAAAATTTTTCATATTCAAATATATGTTAAGATTTATAAATATAAGCATTACATTGGAGGAATCACTCATATGAGTGATTCCTCCAATGTAATGCTTATATTTATAAATCTTAACATATATTTGAATATGAAAAATTTTGATTGGCGTCTAACATAATATTAATATTTATATAAATCTTTATATATTCAAATATATTTATGACAATAGTATATTTGAATACAAGCATTACTCTGGCGATATTCTTTTCAAACTTTCTCAAATATTCTAACTTGTTCGATTGTTTTGACTTACGTATTTGATATTAATTAGATGTGGTCCGGGAGTTCTTGTTCTTGAACTTGCCAGGTTAGTTTGCTATTCGAATCAAATAATTTGTTTGATCAAGACATTCATTGTTAATATTCATTTCTTCCTTTTTGTCCTATATTTAAATCTAGTAAATATCCAAGGTCGCATTTTACGGGATGTGATATAGTCGCCAATTATCCTATTCAAATTAAACCTGGAAATAGCGCATTCGTGACTGGTGATGTTATTGAAGGGCTACCTTTTGCTGATAACACGTAATTCTCTTATTTGTTTCAATGTTTTTTGATTTGCTTCGAAATTAAGGCTAATCCTTTTTCTGTTCAAATTTCTTATTCTATCTTGCTATATCTCGATATATCGATATGCAGATTTGATTTTGTATATGTAGGTGTAAATTTTTTGTGATTATATATGTTATTATTATATATTTTTATTAATCAGTTTTATTTTTTTTAGATGAGATTTATGATGTTTGCAATAGTGGCAAAAGATTGGACACGTGCTATTAAGGTAAATAAATAAATAAATATATATATTCAGAGTTATCGTATAAAATTCGTAATTTCTGTAATTTCTGATAAATGATTTGAAACTATTAGGAAATGGTTAGAGTGACAAAACCAGGAGGCTGGATCGAATTAATGGAAAGGTAAATAAATTTATTTTATTAACATGATCGCTTTTACGTGTTTAACGTTAACGGCGAATTTCATCATGTGATCTTAACCTATCGTATTATTACTCTTTTTAACTAAAAAAATTTATCTTTCCCAGAGATATCCTTTGGTACAATGAGAGTGACGCTGTAAAAAATTGGAGAACAAAGAGTAAGTTTCTTTAGTTATTTTTGATTATTTATTTAAAGTTGTAAATAAAATATATATATATATGTTAAATGGTTTTTTTTTTTATATTTCTTTTAGTTGTTGATGGATTAAAAGCAGGAAAAGGAATTGACCTTATAATAAGCCCGCTAATACCTAGTTATCTTGCTGCAAATAAGTCATTAACTAATATTTCAAAAGATGAAAGGGTCGAACCCTTGGGCGCGTGGGGGGGTGTTTTAGGTAAATATAAATATTCAACTTTCTTCTTAAATACTTTATATATTAACTAGGATAATTCTTCACAAATTCTTAGGTCAAGCTTACGCGCAAATTATAACGTGGGGTGCTAAAAACCTTTCGGATGCTGTTGCCGATATACAATTCCAAGAAGGTGATTATAATTCATTAATTGATATGGCGATGAAGGACTTGGATAATAATAAATCATTTGACAAAAGTCATCGTTTTTGGGCAATGAAAAAAACGTGAAAAAACTGATCTAAATTAGACCAATGTCTTATTGGTATTCATTACCTCTAAGCTTTTATTAAGCTTTTATTGTAACAAATGTACATTTTTTCTCTTTTTTTACATAACTTTTTTAGTTTCACTGTTGTAATTTTTTATGTAATTTTTATGTAATTTATGTAATTTTATTATCATTATTTGAAAAGCATTGTACGTATGTAATTTTAACAAAAGGTGTGTTTTCTATCGATTAAACATTATGGTTTTTTTCACTTTAATTACCCATGGCCATGAATTATTGATTTTATCTGAAAAATTCGTCAATCATGAGAACAAGAAATATAATGTAATTGAAGTAAAATTTAGTTCACTTTCTTCGCATAACTTGGACAAAAAAAATAGCGCACATTTGCGGTAATTAGGTAGTGTATTAAATCATGTGATTGTAGACAACTTGGCTGTCTTAAACCGTCTAGCGTACAATTTTTAGCTTAAATTATGATTGATTTGTGATTGAGCTATCAAATCATATTGGATTGCAGTCTATATCGTAGTGCATTTGAAGTTAAGTCGATGGTTATATCATAGTGTAAAAGTTTTCGCGTTTAAATCCAACAAAACCTTAGCTTTATTAACCCCAAAATACGTTTTTCAGATTCTAAACTTTTACTAGTCACTTATGGATGGACATTAATCAATCGCCCGGGTAACTTAATTACATATTTCAAGTACTCTTTTGAGAACATAACGTTTTTTTATTAAAAATAGAAGTTTTGATTATCTTTTACTTCGTAATACCGTTAGCCACTGCATACAGTATCCTCCAAAAATAATATATATCTAACCACATTAAGTGCCCCCTTCTTCACCAATGAGATCGCCGGATTCGTGAATTGTATCAATTTTTAAAAATAAAGTTCTTGAATAAGATCCCGTGTATTGTCTGCAGTGGCAAACAGTAATGTTAATGTTGTTTGATAAGGTTAATAGAATGTGTAAGATTGAGATTTCATCAAAAGTATTGTATTTGGGAATAGGATAGATTCTACCATGTTTTTATTGTTTAGGTATTTGGTTAGTATAGTTTTTGTTTTATTTATTTTCAAAATAAATTTACTAGAGCAATTTATATTTTTATATATATTATTTAAACTTTAGTAATATACTTTGATCAAAACTAGTGCTTATAGTCAGGGTTTTACTTTAAATACTTTATTATTTATTTTTACTTTTGTAAAATTTATTTAAATTCTAATATTAATATTATGATATATATATAAAGTTAATAAAAAAAATAAATTTTTAAATAAAATTTTTTTAATTTTAAATTTAAAAATCTTAATAATTATTTAATTAAATTTAATAAATTTTTATTTTAATTTTATATAAGGTGAAGTAGGGTATTCTGGCGCGGGAGGTAATGTGGCGCACCAGAGTTTTTTTAAAATATCTCGAGATACATCACAAAATTTTAGTACCATTCGATTTGTCTTACTGAGACGAATCAAATAATATAAAAATTTTTTGGATTCTAATTGCTAAAACACAAGATATAAGTAAAAGTCGATATTTCTTATGATAGTATTAAGTTTCTTTTAATTTTTCCTCATTTGGGTAATATCTAGAGGAAGGATGCAGTAATACAATACAAAACATAAGGGCAGGATGGGTATTATGGCGCGGGAGGTATTGTGGCGCACTCATATTTTTTTGAAATATCTTGCAATTCACTGACTAGAATTGAACAATTTTGGTACCATTCGATTCGTCTTATCGAGATGAATCGAATGGTACAAAAATCGCTTTATTTGGATCAATTGACCTTGCAATAGGTGTAAATTTTTAAGAGAAATCCGTAAATTTTATTAATGTTACTCAACCTAACCCTAAAAATCCGGTTGCATATGATTACATGGTGGATGTGAAATTCGAACCTTAAGCACAAAATTCAAAAAAGTGACCGTTGACTTGGTAAAACTAAGCCTAAAAAACAGTTGTTAATCAGATTTTTAACTAAGGCTGTTCTCAAGCATCTAAATCAATTGATCAGATAATAATTGCAAGCATCACATTAAAAA